GACTTTTCCGCGAGCAAAGATGAACGTGTGCGGGTAAATCGGTCCATTAGTTTGACAAAAGTCACGATTTGTCTACAAGTAGATAATAATTTGTTCGCTTTGACTTGCAACCGAGACGCGGGACTGGTTTGAATTGACGATACAAAAACTTGACGCACGCTACTTCGTTTCTCTTTAACACGTTCCTACACTACTGAAAAAAAAAATTCGCTACCGTAGCTAATCACGGTTTGCTAAAAATATTTCGCTGCCGTAGCTATAAATTTCCGAACCGCAAGCAAACGGTTTGCTCTCGCACCTAATGCAATAGGCACAGCAGCAAAAATAATTAGCTGTCACAACTAAATGTTAGCTGTCCATAGTTTACAATTGAACTTTAGTTGCCACGTGCAGGTTTCAGCTACGGCAGCTACATTTTCCTTTCCGTGATACGCGAAGCTTCCTCTAAAAACCTATACAACTCTTCTCTCATGCATAACTAATACCTAATAACTCGTCTGCCTTACTTTATGCCATTTTCTGTCGTATCGCCAAAGTTGTTAGCGATTATTGTGAACAATGTTAGGTGCAAAGTAAGACGAGGATCAGGCTCGTATAAATCAGGCGACGTAAAAAGTGAAGGGCCAATGAATTCAGGTGTTGGATTATTTGATCGAATCTCACTTATCAATTTAAAATTGACCGAGAACGACGCCGCGCGATCGGTATACCACTCTTGTACATACCGCAAGTCTGAAAACAAAGTGTCAAATGCCTTTAGACACAGGCGCGTCCGCCTCTTCCGATGACTATCTCTCGGATACTTTGTAGTCGCGAAAAGATGCGATGCCACGCGGGGCATCTACGCCTCAACAAGTACATACACGCCATATCCGAATGAAAGCCGAGCTGAAGCAAGAGGGGGAAGGAGATGAGAATTGGACGATTTACGCGAGGAATAGAGGCGGCTACGATACGCCGCCGGACGGACGTGCCATGAGGGACCTGAGGCTCATTCAGTGACGTGGGAACGTGTGCAGATACCATTCATAAGTCGGCCATGTGATGCGTAGAGCGGTAAACGCCCGTATGTGAACCTATGTGAACCCCGCACGGAGTTGCCGCACATGGTCGAATCTTGCGGGGCCCCCGTCTCGCTTCCTATTGTACATTGTTATCGAAGCGGCACGCCGGGCTATCGAGAGTATTAATTATTCACAGCTGCCTCTTTCGATACAACCTTTGTTCAAAATGCATTTCCTATCGCGCCACACGCGGCGGCCTTCGCGTCGAACTGGCGTGTATTTAGATCAGGGAAAAGCTATGGGATAATAAATAATTGAATACCGAACAACGTCGACTCGACGAGCGCGAAAGAAGTGCAGCGAAGAAACGCAGAAAGTACCCGGGTCGAAATTTTGGTACTAGTTTGACACTTTTAAGGATAATTTACATTTACTTAGCTGATTTACATAGACCAGCAATAACCTACTTTGATGACATTATATTTTTTTACTCCCCCCTTGAATCTTTAATTCTAAAAATTTACTTTAGCTCCTATTTAAAAGGACCTACTTTAATTGGCAAAAGTAGAAATTTCCGACACAATCAGTTTTTAAGTAGGAGTCAATTTTGTATCTACTTGCAGTTCGACCTCCTTTACTGTCTGAGGTCCTGCTATGTAATAGAATTAAAGGTTCAACGTAGGACCAAAATTTCGACTCGGGTAATTACATATCGGTCTCGCACGCGTGTACTAGCTACGCTTACACTTGGCGCGAGACACTACCGTGTCTCGTGATCTAGGAATCATTAAAGCGCAGTTTTATTACGACTGTCGTAATTCTGAAACTGTCTCACTCTTTTTCTAGCATCGCGTAAATATGCGAACTGTATTTCATACAATGCGACCAATATTTCACGTTTATCTCCCTTGGCCGATATTCCATGTATTCTCTCTGAGAAAAACTTGCGCTTCTTTCCGATATTTTCCGGCCTTGTCGTGAGAAAAATCTAAATCACACGCGTGTAACACGCTCGAACTGATCTCGTAGCTGTCACGATCGAGAGACCGTCTTCCACCGCCCCTTCTCCCGCGATCTCTCCTTCACGGTTTTACAATGAATGCCGAGGGTGGGAGGGGGAGGACTCGTGGGAGCCTGTTTTCCGTTCTTACCTCGTTTCACCGCGTACGCGATTTCAACTCGTCATCGTTTTGTTGTCGGACAAGGAGGGAGAGCTCGAATTTCTGCCAAGATCGGAGAACGCGCCTTGGGCGATACGTCCTTGGACCCTTTTTTTTTATTTTTTTTTAAGAAAAAGTCTCTCGAAGGAGGGATTTCCAGAGGAATAAATACACGTTAAATCTCGCGGCTTATCGGGAAACGTCCTTAAGGCTTATCGACGATACGCGATACTCTGGAAAGAAGACTTTATCGATCCTCGACGGAAAATATTGTCCCATACATTAAATATCTAACGAATCTAACAGCCCGATGTAGTATTTCAACACTCAATTAATTTTTTTTCAAACCCTGCCGGAAACAATTCTACAAAATTCTACCAAAGAAAAAAATTAAATACAACTGCCAGAATCTAAGAAATTCTACGTAAATTTCCTTTCCGTGGGTGCGGAAACGCCGCTTAGTCGATTTATCCAATTTTTCCTCAGCGTTGCAATTTTCAGGGCGCTTTCTCCCCGACGAGAGGCCGCTAACAGACGATTAACATTGATAGCGCGAAATCATTAGACAGTCCGTCCTCGTGACTGGGATTTGTCGCAGCGGTGTGCCCGCGAGCTGCCGATTCATAGAGCGCCGGCGTACCTGCGGCGCACACCTGTACGCGAGCGGGACCGGGTTTATCGCCGTAACAGTCTAGGCGGCCACCTGTGCGGCCAGCAGAGATGGTCGCACAGGTGTCTTTTAAAGCGTTTCATTAATTACGAATGGGTAACCTGACGTAGGTTCTCCATATAGTTAGCCTCACCTGTTGTTTCGTCGCGGCGCTCCGCGATTAAATCCGCGCCGTTTGCTCGCGGCACGCTCGACCTCGACCCCCGAAAGCGGCGAGGGGGCGGGCATTACGTTTCCGGAGAGAGAAACGAAATTCCGCGGGGCACACGGAAGCGGGATCGTATAACGCGACGTAGGCGAACGCGAACGGGCGGGACGTTTTTACTCCCCTGGCCACGTGAGATAGAAAAAGAACGCTCGGGCCGTCTCGGCCCGTGATGCAATCGCTGCAAACGCGCTGGCGCAATAAATTCCAGCCGAGTCCGGCCGGAGATCAAGGTGACCAAAAATATATGAGAGAAATCTTATAAAATGAAAGAAAAAAAATAACGAAATTACGTGTCTAGATTAGAATTACGAGATGGCTCCCCGTAGTGCGCGTGGGACTTCAGCTCCTTCACGTCCCATTACGTTCCTGTTGCGAGAAAAGCGAATTGTCATTTTTGCTGGATCTCCTCTGCCGGGCGTTTTTGTTTTTTTTGCTCACGTTTATTCGACAAAGGCGGCGACGTTTCCGACCGGTACCGTTGATGGCCGTCTCGGGGTTTCGGGCAGTACTTTCGTAATCGTGCGACGAATGCTGACATTGCGACGCCAGGTGTCTTTCTTTCTTTAAGGAACGACCTCGTTAAAGGACACGTCGTTTCACCGATCGAAACGTTCGGTCAGCGAGGCGGCGTTGAGTCAGGTTTTTTCACAGACAGAGATTCGTCGGATCTCGCTGGACTCCAACGGACGAGAGGAGCGATCTATGAAAGTAAAAGATTTGAATTCAATTAACAAATTCACTACGTCTGTAATCGATAATATCAGCCTCTCGTTGTTGAAAGCTTATTTAAAAATGACTGGAGTAATAAATTATCCGGGCACGATTGTTGTTCAAGAAATTCAGAATTGATACAATGTTAATTAGCTCTAGTGTCTTATTAATTGTCGGTTATGATGATGATATTGCAGTAACGAGCGCAAAGAAACTTCAAGAAAATAATTAAATTGTTTTAATCGTAACTGGTGCGCGGATCAAGAATTTTGACTTATTGCCTCCTACGACAACAGATTCCAATGCGTATCTTTACGACGCTTATTTTATTTTTAATAACCTTTTGGCAATTTTTCGGATTACTAAAAAAACATAGTAAAGGTGTACAAATTCGACAATTTCTTCCTGAAAAGAGAGAACACCATTTCCGCCCCCTCCCCTCTCTCTCTCATTCGCTCTAGACTTTCTCTGTTATCAAATTGAGCTTATCGTCAATTCAATTGAACGAATGTCCATCCATGGGCAGTGTGAAACTGCAGCACGGTCGAGGAAAGAAAAATCCGAGCTTACCGGCCCAGTCACTTTCGCCTGATGATAACTTGCGTTTCTTTTAATTTATTGGTGGGAGCAAACTGAGAAAACCCCCACCTTCCAAAAATTAGTATCTTGCTAAGACGTTTTGATGCACCCCACCTTCCAAGAATTAGTATCTTGGTAAGACGTTATAGTATATGTTCTGCCTATTGTATTCTGCCTAGGTGTATATGCAGTGTTGTGCATAGATGATTTTAAAATTAGCTATATAAAGATAAGATAAAAATATATAAATTTATCTTAGATAGGATAAAGATGATTTCGTTTTGAATATATCTAGATAAAAGATAAAATTATATGATGATTCATCTAGATAATTTTCAGATAATATTTTTAAGACTTCATGTAAACACAGTAGAAAAAGTTATAAAAAAATTATAGAAAAATTTAAATTATAAAGGGGGATATAGAATATATCCAGGGGGATATAGAATATATCCAGGTTAGGTTAGGTTATATGACACACACATAAATGCATGGTCTACAACGCCATCCATATTTAAATAGTGTAACTGTTAAGTATTTTTATGTAGCCCTAAACCAAATTATCTGTACGTTATCTGAGATAATTTAGTAAAGATAACACTTTCTTTCATCTAAGATGCAGATATAGATAATACTTATTTTTATTATCTATATAAAGATAAGATAATGCTAAAATTTTATCTAGATAATCATCTATATAATTTTATTTAGATAACAGCAAACACTGTGTATATGTAACCAATTGTGTGAATTTTGAATACGAGAAACTGAACTCCATCTGGCGTGTGAAAACTGATACAACAAATACACACATGCATACGTATATATGTATATATATTCTGTTATTGTGACAAAGGACATGTGAATTCTCTCTCTCTCTCTCTCTCTCTCTCTCTCTCTCTCTCTCTCTCTCACTCACTCAATTACGAATAAATACGAATACCGAGGAGCATCGAGCGAGAGAAAAAGTATTTTACGGCGCGGGGACGCGCGATAGCCACCGGCATCGATGTGCACCCGGCTGGTATTCGCGGGATTAACCAGGCGCATTCCAAGCTCGAGGCGGGTGTTTCCGAGCCGTCGTGATGCCAGGCCGTTTCTTTGCATTCCTTTTCTTCGTCTCACCGGGTCGCAACAAGCCCGTGCGAGGCCGGATGAGTTTCGTCGTCCCTCCCACAACCACCACCGATGATATCTCTCTTTCTCTCTCTCTTATTCGTTCTAGATTTCCTCTCTTATCAAATCCACTGAGTTATTGTCAATTAAACTGAACAAAGTGTCCATCCATTGGCAGTACGACACTGCGTGATCTAGAAAAAAAAAACGGAGAATCCAAGTTTCCCATCAGCCCAGTCGCTTTTGCCTGATGATATCTTATGTCTCTTTGTCAATTTGTTGGTGTGGGCAGACATCTAAATCCCACCTTCCAAAAATTAGGAGCGACAAACACCATGTAGAAAATAATAAAATTTCACTATTTTCCTGCCTATTATAACAAATTGTGTGAACTTTGAATACGAGAAACCGTCTAACACCATCTGGAGTGTGAAAACTGATATAACTGATACATACATACGTATATTTGTACGTTCTGTTATTGTGACAAAGGACACGTGAATTCTCTCTCTCTCTCTCTCTCTCTCTCTCTCTCTCTCTCTCTCTTTCTCCTGCCAGAAATTCCTCTCCGATTTATCGTGCATCACGGTGCGGCGGCGCGTCTGTTTATCCAGTGAGATTACACGATCCTGTCGAGGACCGGCCAAGCCTAGTATTACTGGTTGGTGCTCGCATTACCAATCGGCAGCGAATTACCGCTTGCAAACGCTCTGGCATACACGAGCGATTAGAGTTAAAAGAGACTTGCGATTAGTCTTCGACGTTTCGTTATTAGTGGAGCAGCGACTTTTTTCACGCTATGAAAGTCAGAAACGCTATAAGAGCTAGAGCGATCGGAGCTTGGAAATTTATGAGAGTGTGTAAACAGGCTTAAGTACGAATCGCGAAGGTGGGACACCGTAGGCAGAGGATGCAACTGAAGATTCGCGAAAAGATTCGCAGCGATATAGCACGTACTTACGTTCGATCAACAAAAACGAAAAACGCTATAGCGGCGCGTAGTAAAAGAACGAGAGGCGAGGGAAAGGAGAGAGAGAGAGAGAGAAGAGAAAGGAGAATTTTTCTCTTTTGAGATCGAAGATGCGGAGGAGATGGAAACGGAGAAGAACAAGAAGCCGGCTGAGATGTACAGATACATTCGTACACACGGATTCAGGTGGAGGACGAAGGAAGAGAACGAGGGGGAGAGGGAGAGAGAGAGCCGAAAACGAGGAGGTAGGTGCCGGCGTTGGTATCGGGTCTTTCTTCCCTTTGCCACCTTGTTCGCCATGGCCGAACGGCGGGGGGCAGCGGAGGGGTCCACAGCGTGCGCGATCTCGTCGGCGTCGTCGTCGTCGTCGGCGGCGGCGGTGGCGGCGGTGGCGATGGTGGTAGCGTGAATTGCGGAGCGACGGGAGGCGGAGAGGGATACCCGAGGCATCGAGAGGGGACTTGGCGACAGACTGGCGGGCGCGCACCTGCACTCGCTCGGCCGCGAGAGAGCCGACAGTCAGGGGCGCACCTACCGGGGCGCAGACTCCGGCTCCTCCGCGGGAGGAGACCGACGACGGGATGAGCGGGGTGTGTGTGCGCGCGTGTGTGAGAGAGAGAAAGAGAGAGAGAGAGAGAGAGAGGGAGATACAAATCACGCAGCCGGTGCATTTCTCGTCCGCGCGGCTTATCTCCCACTGGCACTGGCGCACGGCCCGTTCCACTTTCAGAGCCCGCCCGGTCTTATTTTCCATCTTCTTTTTATCCCGCGTTCCTCCGTTCTTCTCCCTTTATCGTTTCCTCCGTGCGAAAACCGCGCTCGTACGCCCGACGGCGCGTCGCCGTCGCCGTCGTCGATATATTCTCGCGCGTTAGCGCGGAAGCTGCTTGAAAACGTCGCGTCTCTTTCGCGGATCGCACGACTTAATTAAAGCGATACCTCGCTCGAATTCGATCCCTCGTTCATTAATGACGCGAGATCCGTTTCGTTTTACCTTTTACTTTTGAGATAGTCGATCACGTAGAACGTTAAGGCTAGATACATGTAGATATAAAGCAACAAGTAGCAACGAAAAACCATGATGATATATAATTTATTAAGTTTACGTCACTCAATGCTGTTCGACAATTAGTGATGTAATTGTGGCGTCTTATAAGTAACAGCGAGAGAGAGAGAGAGAGAGAGAGAGAGAGAGAGAGAGAGAGAGAGAGAGAGAGAGAGAGAGAGAGAGGGAGAGATTTTTTAACTCACAATCAGTCTGAAATTTTTCGAACTTCCTGCATCTTGACGATTGAAATATCTTTATATCCCTTTTTGTATCCTGTGTTCACGATGAAAAATGTAAAATATTACAATGGCTACTGAAATTGCATGGATACACAAAAGTGTTCGCTTTATTGCGTAGAGCTAATTAATTTTACAAAGGCTCGAGATGTCTTCATATGAGTGGCCTGTCGGCTACGGTTTATCGTCGCCGTTAATTCCGTATCGAGTGGCATCGCTGATTCTAAAATGCGCACAATCGCGTTCACGCGCGCGTAGAAAGTCTCAAGTCGATGCTCGCCTCTGCGCGACGAGAGCTCAGGGCTGCAATTGCAATTAGCCACGATGCTTATTAATTATCCGATACACTTGGCGAATTCACGTAATTAGACGGCTGGTTTCTAGTTGCTCGTTTCTCCTTATTCTACGTAATTCCGACGTAGGCGAAGCGATCCTCCCTGCTCTTTGCACAATCCGCTTTAGGCGGAAACCTGGGTATCTACCGACGGATGAATGGAGGACACTCGAGTACGCGTGTGTCGATATACTTAATTAAATTTCAGACGCTCGTCACGAATCGCAGGAAAGTCCAGGTTCGAACTGGGATGACATCCCGAGTCAAAATTTTGGTACTATTTTGACACTTTTAAGGCTAATTTACACCTACTTAGCTGATCTGTACACCTACATAGACCAGCAATAACCCACTTTGATGACATTATATTTTTTACTCCTCCCTTGAATCTTTAATTCTAAAAATTTACTTTAGCTCCTACTTAAAAGAACTAAATGCTAAATTGGCAAAAGTAGAAATTTCCGACACTATCGGTTTTAAAGTAGGAGTCAATTGTGTAATACTTGCAGTTCGATCTTTTTTACTGTCTTAGGTCCTGCTATACAATAGAATTAAAGGTTCAACATAGGGCCAAAACTTCGACTCCGGATCCCAGCGAGAAATGATTCGTCGATCCCCTATTAGCACAATATATTGGCGCAATATTGAGAAATAATGTAAATCTACTGTTCCCAATATTGACCCAATATTGTAAGATGAACGCCTTCTCTTATTTGGCCAATAATTAGCAATATTGGTCTAATATTGTATCAATATTGATGCAATATTGGACCAATATTCTTAATATATTGTTAAATATTGGCCAATGCATTGCTAATATAACCAACACTGGACCAATATTTAGCCAATGCACTGTGCTACTAGGGTAGTAGCACAATATAGTGGCGCTACATTGGGAAATAATGTAAATCTGGTATTGCCAATATTGGTCCAATATTGTAAGATGGACGCCTTCTCTTATCTAGCCAATATGTCTTTTAGCAATATTGGTCTAATATGGTATCAATATTACATTGTTAAATATTGGCCAATGCACTTCCAATATAAATCTAATATTATAAATTATTATCGTGCGGTATTTACATTTATTCCATGACCAATATTGGTTTTACGTTGGACAATGTCGGCCAATGCATTTCTAATACAACCAACATTGGACCAACATTTAGCCAATGTTTAGCCAATGCACTGCGCTAGGATCGATGTTGAAACGATGTCGAATCGACGTCAATGTGACGGTGATCGACGAGTCATTTCTCGCTGGGACTCCTCGCAAGAAATTCTTTAAAAATGGAGAGCTTAATAGAATGAAAAGTTATAACTTGACTATCGATTTAAATATGTCGACTTACTGTACCAACGGAAAGCTTGTAATCGTCGCGCAGTTTATAGCGTTAGAAGAATTAAAGGATACGAAATTCACGGGAACACATAATTATCGGGCTATCAAGACGTACGGCCCGCCTGAAAACGGCATCTTCTCTAATTAATCGAGATTCATATCGGTCCCGTTTCGCTTATTATTGATAATTAAACATCGAGCCTCAATTTCTTATTTTACCCGTTATTTCATCCCATTTTTACGCGTTACTTTACCCATGTAAAATTTAGATAAGATCTCCGCTGCACTCTTGCCCAACGATCCATCGTGGGGTCGTTACGTCGATGAGACGTTTCTGCGGGTCTCCTTTCCGAAGACCTGCCTGTCCAGACTCCGTCCAAGGAGCCAGGAAAACCGCCACAGGTAATTGGAGAAGGCCCGAGCACGATGGGGCGATAAGGCGAGCCACGGCTTCGACGCGTGGCTCGTGGACGGTTCATGAATATGGATCGGGAAAGTAGTCGGCGAAATAAATAAGGAATGTATGCGAGTCTAGTCGCCGCGCGATTACGATGTGTACGCTCGGGATTTATCTCGGGCGCACAGTACGATTCCGCTTCTGTCCGCTTTATTGTCCGTTTATCGCGGCTCTCGTTCTCTCTTACTGCACGCTTGACCTTTTCGCACGGCGGGATATTTATAAGATTCGCGCGCCCCGCGACCGTGATTTTAACGCGAGGTCGTTATGCAAATCGCGATGAGGGCCCCTTAGCTGCGTTCGGTAACGTCACTCGAGTGTCCCGGTGTATCATTTTATCCTTCGGTGAGCAAAAAGATAGAATGATATTATACACTAGAGCACCCGGCTGATGTTTCCGAACGCAGCCCTTCGTGTTTATCGCGTTCGCTAAACATCGGATTTTACGCGCTCGCGCCGTCGATTGACAGCCGCGACTTTGTCCTCCACGTGCTTATTATCGCCAGACAAGGGGACGAGGGGACAAATTAAGACATCAAGCTCAGAATCTACGTTGAATCCCGAAATAACGACGTCGTAACTGACGATTTTGTAATTCCGTTCCATATCCTCCGCGTGTTTATCGCGCCGGGTGAAGCAAATTAAAACGTCGAAGCCTAGAATCTGTACTGGGATCTTAAATGATTACGACGTAACGGATGATTTTATAATTCTACTGGACGCATTCGCTTGAGAAATGCCTGTCGTAAAATTAGTTTCGATTTAAGAACGGTACACAACGCTTAATGTAAATAAAATTTAATTAACAACCGGAGTCGAAACTTTGGCCCTATGTTGAACCTTTAATTCTTTAGTATTTGTATAGCAGGACCTGAGACAGTAAAAGAGGTCGAACTGCAAGTACAAAATTGACTCCTACTTTAAAACCGATAGCGTCGGAAATTTCTACTTTTGTCAATTTAGCATTTAGTCCTTTTAAGTAAGAGTTAAGTAAATTTTTAGAATTAAAGATTCAAGGGAGGAGTAAAAAAATATGTCATCAAAGTAGGTTAATGCTGGTCTACGCAGGTGTAAATTATCTTTGAAAGTGTCAAAATTTCGACTCGGGAATGATTCAAATTTTGAGCCGAGATACGTCGTATTTGTCGTAAGAAGACCTATAATTTCTGATACGCCAATTCACGTTTGCGAAACGGTCGGTCATTCAATGCGAAACTAATTACAAATTCTGCGGGGGAGACATTTCGAGATCGTAGGATCTCCTTACGCAGCTCCAGGCGTGAAAATTGCAGGCGTAGAATGTAAAAGTGGCGAAAATCAATGGTCCATAACGCGAGTCGGGATTTACAAGGCGAAGCGGGAAAAAAAACGGCGTGCGATAAACATGCGGTTTTACTCGTGCGGTTTAATTTATTGCCGCCGTTGGAATTGTCACGTGTGCCTAACAGATAAGGGACACGCTCGTGCCACGAGGGATTCGTAAAAGATCAATTGTCGCCACCTCCGAGGCGCATATTTGCGGATCGACATGGCAATATATTAACAGAAAGAAACTGACGCCGGGAGATGATCACCCGTGAGAAAGAAACCTTTGGGAAAAAATACCTCGGAGAAGCTTAAAATTTTAAAGAATTTAAAGGACTCAGAGCCGTGACAGGATGGTAGTGTCTAAATATTCTATTCTAAATTTATTGCGAAAAAATATCACCCTGGCCGAGGTGATATTTTTTCGCAATAAATTTAGAATAGAATATTTAGACACTACCATCCTGTCACGGCTCTGAGTCCTTTAAATTCTTTGAAATTTGTGTTGAACACATACGAGCCTTACTAATTTATTTAATTTACTTAAAATTTTACTTTAGAAAAATAAGAAACGTGAAAAGTAAATTTAGGCACTTTAAACTTTTATTTCAGATGAACTTAAAACTTACTTTAAGAATTTAAAAGAAAGCTTTAAGGATTGTGAAAAGTATGTGATATAATTTATTATATCGCGTGCGGTTTTCTTCTTACGAGAGAAAGTGCTATGCCGCGCGGCCCTCTAGCGAGAACTTCGACTGGCGTGGCTATCTAAAAGTTACTTTAAGTATTCAAAATTACTCCAAAATTTCTTAAGTAAACTTTTAACCGATTTTCCCAAGGAAATATTCGCGGAATTATGGTGTTTTTCAAAGTTTGCCCCTTTGGATGCAAAACTTGTGACGATCATGTTAATCGTGTCATAAGACTGTGCGTATTTTACAATAAAAATTTACCGTACAATTCTGATGAAAATTAGGAAATAGAAAGAAAAACGAGGGGCAAAGAAGCTGTTCTAGGGGCGCGATCGTTCGTGGATTAATCGACGAGTTAGTAAACACACCTGGTGTCGCGTACGTGTGTACCGCGTTGCTGCCAAAGTAACTTTCGTGATATCGAAAACACTTCTCGCTCGATAATCGCTTAATCACTCTCTGACGAGTTGTGTGTCGTGTCGCGGAAAGAGTGGGAGAATGTAAACGGCACGTAGATATGGGACTGTGACGCGTATTTGTTCGAAGAACGACATTTACGTTAATGTAAATTATGTAATTTTTTAAATGGCGGTATACATTTTTTTTCGGGTGCGGAAATCAATTTCGCGATTCAGTCTGAGTTTGCAGGAACATAATTTTATAAGAACGAGGATTTTATAAAGTCCCTTGAGCTATTTAAGGATTCGAGAAAAATAAAATATTCACGAAGAATATGTGCACACATATTTTTGGGATGATAAAATGATCAACGATTCATTTAGGTACTAAAGATAATAAATGCACGATTGAAGAAAATTGTTAATTTGATCTTTTGCTAAGTGTTTCCTAAATTTCTTTTTCTCCTCCAAGTTTGTTAAATGAAATTTACGTAATCTTTCCCGAATTGGGCGACAACAATATATCGAGATAATAAAATGGGATCGGAAGATTTGGCGATGACAATCGGTGGGTCTTATTGATAACATTATCTGTACGTAATTGAGATATATCAATTTTACTATGATAAGTTTGTGTTAGTACGATTAAAAATTGTGATATATAAAACGTAATAGTTGGACGCAAACACTATTCCTGGAATCGATAAAGAATGATTTGAAAAGTGAATGCGTACTCTAGTAGTACAGTGCATTGGCTAGACATTGGCTAAATGTTGATCTAATGTTGGTTGTATTCGAAATGCATTGGGAAAACGTGCAAATTGTTCCAAATTTATTTGTATAATATTCTCTGTTAATATATGCTTATTGCGATTAAATACACATGATTGTAACTGTGTCGTGAGATAGGTGCAAAGCAGATCTTTTGTTAAGTGTCAAGAGTTGAATTTGTCAATTTTGCACGCGCGCGTACGAGAGAGAGAGAGAGAGAGAGAGAGAGAGAGAGAGAGAGAGAGAACACGTTTGTTAAAAGCCACTATATCAATGTATTCTCAAGCATGTGTGTATGGAAGTGTGTTGACGATTACAGGTCCGAGGGAACGATCGTTTCGTCTTTAGAACACGTGTGTTCTTATCAACAGTCATTTTTCTTGCGAGTTACGATAACGGTTTTGCGAAGCGTAATTTCTATCCGACGGCAGTTCTGTCTCACGGCCTCCGGCGGTCTGCCTTTGATAATTTTTTTTTACAGGTCTCCTCGCAAGACCCTGTAATACATACGCCGTACAAGTGAGATAAATGTCAAAAGAACGAAATCTATTGATTACTTCCTCGCGGATCTTTTATTTGTAACTGCCAAACGACTTTATAATAGCCGATCGAGATATCGTTAAAGATTTATGTATCTCGCCGATATTGTCCGTTTCTTCTTTCCAGTTGTTTATTATATTATCGCCAAGAGCGTATGCATGAATTATATGATGGAGAGGAAAGTCCCCCCCCCCCCAGTCAGAAATGACTGGAAAACCGACGTCGAAACGATATCGAATCGATGCATTTTTGGTTCCGTTTTCGAGCCAAGTCGAAAATGCAACCAAAAATGCATCGATATCGTTTCGACGTCGTTTTCCAGTCATTTCTGGCTGGGCCTATTATGGGATAGGCTCCTAATACAAGATAAAGGGGTTTCGTGAGACAACATGGCATTTTACCGTGTGCCGATGGCTTTAGTTTCCGCGGCTCTCATTTAGATGACGCTAGTTGAAAGTGTAATTTCATGGATGTAGGAATAACCCTACATCCATGTGTAATTTACTTTGACATCTGAAACCCTTGATGTATAACCAGGGTTGGGAAGTAACTCGTTACTTGTAACGAAGTTACAGTTACAGTTACTTCTTTTTGGTAACTCTAACTTAACTTCGTTACTTTCTCTACATTTTTTCGATAACTAGTAACTAATTTAATAGTTACATTAATAGTTACTTTATATATTTTTTCAACTTCCACAGATCGCATTAGGCCTTGCATTTGCGCATAAACGCCTTTATTGCCGCTTTATAATTCAGATGCAGATTCGATATTTTTATTTCTATTGCAAGGGAGTAACTGCAAAGTAACGATTCGTTACTTTTCGAGTAACTGTAACTGTAACGCGTTACTTTTCAGAATTGGTAACTTGTAACTGTAACTAGTTACATTGTTAGCGAAGAAACTGTAACTGTAACTAGTTACTTTTATAAAGTAACTTTCCCAACCCTGTGTATAACTATATGGACTGCCAGTTACCTCCATTGTCTTATTGATGAGTTTGTTGGCTCCTGGGTCCATCCGGATCCAATACGGCCACATCAAACCAATAGTCGTAAGCCAGTTATCTCCACTTTTTCTATTCTAACAGTCTGTCTGTTTTACCGACAACGCGAAAGTTATGTATGTGTGCGTATATGTATGTTACATAAAAAAGAAAGAGAGAGCAATAATACGATACATCTTTCCTTGTCTACTAGATTGCAGCGCCATCTTATCATCATGCAGTGCTCTACTTATCATTCTACAGCTGTATTTGCATGATTTATAAATTTTTCTCTAACCCTATCTTTTTTTTCTAAACTTTTAATCTTACAATTAGTTCCAAGTACACAATATTGTTCTTGTATGTTGTCTCTAGGTTTCTCCGGTCTCATTTTGCAGATATAAACTACATATAGAATTTTTGTATAAGCATGCAAGGGATACGTTCTGCCATGGTGGAAATACATAAGGTGTGCTCTTGCGCATCGTTTTGAACAGCCAATGAGAAGTTGCTCCCAACGGTGTCCATATTGTGGCGGTTAAATCAAATCGAGCGTTCTATAAGCAGTTATAAAGTCATATATCTAGTGCATTTATTGTGTGGAAATATAAAGAGCAAAGAGTAATATGTATTTTATACGTTTTCGCGCAACGATTATTTTTAATTTCAGTTTCCATATATATTTATTGACAAAGTATATTTTTTAAATGTAGGAGTCTGGTGTCCATTCTATGGGTTGCTATAGCAACCCATAAATATAGACAATATAGACACCGTTGCAGATTCCCAGGTATCGATATATCGACTTAAAATGGAGACGCTTGGGAGCTGCGCAGAACCGGACGAAAATTGGTATCGGTAACGAGCACAACTTATGTATTTCCACCATGCGTTCTGCGAATATAACAAATGCGATGCGATTTCAACTGATATTCGGCAATTCACGTCATATGTCAAAATTTCCTTACATCTTTTACCTCGTCTCGCGTGACTGCCAGAATATTCGTCAAAATTCTTTTTGCGATGTCGAGCTTCATAGTTGCAATATGATTTCGATTACGAAGCCCGAGCTCAAGATACTAGATAAAAATAAATTACACGTGTCACGAAGGCCAGGATGCACCGCGTGGCTGTTTCTCGCCCGTAAGAGACGACTTATGAAATTTATCGATTAACATGTCTTCGAGTCTAGCGTGTAAAATATTTTTTATTTTCAATCAACAGCTGTATAAAATACGTAGTGTACTTTCCTTTTTTTTCATATTCATTTAATATCTCCTGTGTCTTAATCGGTATTTTTAGAGCTATTAAAGCAGAAACATATGTACAAATCTCTCCATCTTCTAACTATACTTTTATTTTTCATGTGTGTTGTATAACTAACCCACCCAGTGCTTAGTTATGGATACGTACCGCGAGAATAATTATTTTTAACATTTATTACACAAAGCAAGGTCTTTATGTATTCCAGTGTCGGCGATAATCTTCATTGGAATATTCAGCCACTTGACTAGCAATGTGTACTTTCTGATTATCTTGCTTCTGGGTGAGATTATGTTCGGATTGGACACTCTTGGAGAATGGGAGGACCTAATTTTGTACAAGAACGAGAACAAAGCGGTCGTCGAACGATCCGTTTGGAGCGATAAACTGTGCCCAGGTGGCTCGGGCGAATCCTCCTTAATGAGACTCACCGACATCCGACACGTAGGAGTCTCCACCACGATGGGTCTATTTATCCTCCAAAGGAACGGGAAGATAATCGCTCTCAACATGAAAGGATTGACGAGAAAGGAGGTGCAAGACTTGAGGAAAGAAATCAGCCACTTCCTAAACATGAGCCGACTCAAGTATCTCGATCATTCTCTGGTCGATCCTTCGGACCGATTGTTACTTCCTTCCGATTCCGAGGAATACTTGCAACACTTGCCGAGATCGTGTCTGTCCATGTCCAACGAGTTTACCGCCTCGGACAATGTTTTGGGCGGTACTTTAGGCAGGACGTGCTGTCAGGTGCAGGAGAACTTGAGTTATCCGAGCTTGATGCATGGAACGCAGCTCAACAGTTATCAAGTGGCGAACTTGAGAAGGAGTCCTTATACGGAAAATTCAACGCGTTTCAATTACGTCAAGCATACCAGGAACACTTCCGCAATTTCCACATCTCGCGATTTACCTAAGCCTCGTAAAGAATGTATTTAATCGAACGCTATCCGTCTACGTTGTGCGTACCCTCGAGATCACTGACGTTGTAACTGATTCACGAGTAGAAATAAATTTGTGTAGCTGAGCAAAATCTTATTCATTTATTCTACGCTGCAATAATTTATTGCTAAGTAACAACAGTTTGAAAATATTAAAAAGGATATACTGAAACATGATTCATCGCTCATCATCAACAATATGGACAATATATATTACTGTATAACGTCTAATAATCCTACTCTATCGATCGTCATAACAATTACATAAAACCTTTTTATACATCTCGTTCATTGAACAAGTTGCTTACAGGCGGTTTCGATATCTGGATATTGATATTGAAATCCTAGCTCTGTGACACGCTTCGGTGTAACTTTTTGCCCCTCCAACATCATCTAAATCAAATATCAAATTATTGACCTGCCAAGCTTGTTAAGTATATGATGTACTCACCTTAGCTCGTTCTCCACTGAATAATATTTGCAAAAGGAAAGCTGGAAGAGGTATGAACGCGGGTCTTCTCATTGCCGCTGCAAACGCTTTCGTAAACTCCTCATTTGTTACAAGCTGTTAACAAAGCGTATATACAATTACATCTCAATTGCAATTCAATTGGAGAACAGTTGTACAAAGTCGTTAATATTACCTGAGGTGCTACTCCATTTAGTATACCACGTACATTGCTATTTTTAAGCGCAAATATAAACATGCAAACTAAGTCGGTGACGTGTATCCAGGGCATGTATTGGTTCCCGCTTCCTATCGGCCCACCGAGGCAGAAAAAGAACGGCAAGTAGACTTGCTTGATCATGCCGCCGTCTCTTCCCAACACCACTCCAGATCTTATCGTCACTTGCCTAATGTTGCTGTCCTTCGGCAGTTTTGCCGCTTCCTCCCAGTCGTGACAAAGTTCTAGCAAAAATTAGTAATTAATTCGCGGATATACATAATACGTATTTATGTGAGAAAACAAGATTCTACTTGATAGAAAATCGTATGATTCGCATTTGCTCTCCTCAGTGTATACGGCGCTGTTGGGTTTGTAGTACGCGACTCCCGATATAGTCGCGAAGACCGTGGCCTTGGTATTCTGTATAGAATCTGCTAGAGCCTTGGTTGTCTTCACCCGGCTGTTCCTGACGTTCTGCTTGAAGCCAGGTGACCATCTCTGCTTGGGATCCAGCACGTTCTGCCCAGCGACGTTGATGACGGCCGACGTGTTCTCCGGTAGGCCGTAGCGTTCTAAATCATTCTACAGATTTTACAACAGCTATAATCGGTTTGACTCTTACTGAACGGCACGCAAGCTCGTCTCTTATCTGATCTACCCATGATATCCTGTTCGGTCCTGGCATTCGAGAGATACATGTACAGGAGAAGCCCTCGTGGGTCAGTGACTTTATTAACTGTGACCCTACGAAGCCGGTACCACCGCCTGAAAATATTATGCAACGATACTCTTAATAAACTTACGCAACAATTAGTGACATAAATTTCTCACTTGCTGAAATGTGATGAATCAATTTGCAAGAATGCTTACCTATCACTACGTGCTTCAGAGCCATGTTCGTAAGTAGCGGTGGCAAGTTGCTTCCGTGCCAAGTTATTTTAAGAATTCGCGAAGCTATACCGGCTGCAACGACGTGAGAACGCGGTTTACAATGTTACTGCAAGAATGAACTCTTTCGACCATGAGACATGGCATATAAATGTCACATATTTACATAACAGAAAGTTTTAGGGCATTGTATTTTTATTTGTAATCTAATGTACTGTTAAACTCATAAACTTTTCCCATGCCATCTCTCTTACGGAAATACGGAGCCGTATTATTCTCATGGAGCAACGAACTTACAGGAGGGAGCAAGAAGGAGCGTAACAAGACGAAAGGTCGTGACGGACGGAAGGGGCGAAAGAAAGGCTGCGTTTTCACTGAGCGCGTCATGCGTGGTCTACAATGCAAGTCGCAGAGTCGAAGGCTGATGGCAGACAACTATCCGTGACTACGTTTCCACCGAGGGTCAGAGTCGGGCTAGAGTCGGGTCAGAATCGGGTTGGGGTGAGCGTTTTTGCGGTGGAAACACCAAACCCCAACCCGATTCTGACCCGGTTTGGTGTTTCCACCGCAAAAACGCTCACCCCAACCCTAGAGCTACTAGATAAAGGGGAGCTGACTCGTCCGCCATCTTGGAGCCCAAACGTTTGACTTCGACAAATGCATTTCGGCACAAGATATGAATTTCTTGTTCTAAATTTATTGTTAATAAAATCCAAATTACGTTTTTGTTTTTGGAAAGCTATATTTTTAATTAATTATTAAAGCTATATTATTAATTTAATTTGTAAATAAATAAAAATATAGCTTTCCAAAAACAAAGACGTAATTTGAATTTTATTAACAATTAATTT